AACTTCTTCACATTGTCTCTTCCAATGGGAGTATCCAGGAAAATATGGCTTGCATTTCTTATTATCATTTATTCAATGAATACCTATTTGATTAAATACTTTCCAAATTCATGGCTACTGGATTGACACTGAAGGAGAAAGCAGAAACTTAGCCTGAGGTTGGAGAAGGTAAGAAATGCACTTAAACTACACATTTTCCACATGAGAGGCACAGACAATGCAAATTAGCAGAGGTGGTGATCTCAAAGCAGTGATTTGACACACCAGAGCTCTGTCCAAATCCCCTTTCCTTAATGAAGCCATCTTCTCCTACCTTCTCCTTCTCTTTTTTTTTCCTCTTTATTTTTTTTTCTGTTCCAAATCACAACTTCCATTAATATTTGGGCTACAGAAATCAGGCCAGGGTTTACAGACACTGGTGGAGTCTACTCTCAGCTTGAAAGGCTTAAGTGGGGAGGTCTTTGCTTAGGGAAATGTCTTTTCCCCCATGCCGCATCTTCCTGGCTACCTCCTACACACCTTTTAAGGCTTCTCTTAAGCCTTGCCTCCTCTGTGAGTGCTTCCCTGGACAATCATTCTGGGGTAGAAATGGGGAATGTATCTATCTATCTATCTATCTATCTATCTATCATCTATCTATCTATCTATCTATCTATCTATCTATCTATCTATCTACCTAAAAGCCTAAGCAACTGAATGACCGAATGACTGGCCAACCAGTTCCTATGATGCGCATTGACCATCAGGGGGCAGATTCTCAATGCAAGAGCTGATCTCTGGTGGTCAGTGCACTCCTACAGTCAACCTCCCGTGACCGGCCAAGTTCCTGCAGTTGGCCAACCTCCTGGGGTCCCCCCCTGGCTCCCCCCCCCCTTCCCAATCAGGCCTGTGCATGAATTCCTCCTGCACTGGGCCTCTAGTACATAATATAATGATTTGAAAATAAATAAAAACATAAATATTCTTTATTCTGCTTTCAGATTTCTTAGTGGTTATGCCTCCCCAATAGCCTCTATGTTTCTCTCTTTTCCATCATGGTTAGTCTCTTATTTCTCTTGGTGTAGAATCCCTGGGAGAGGACGGTAAAGAATAATCAGGCTGTCAGGCTAGAGGAAATAATAATGTGATTAGTAAGAAGTGATGTTCAGCATCACAAAGAATGGGTACATGGCTGGAAATGGTGGGAAATGGGATTGTATAGGAACATTAGTCAGAAGGTACTTCTGTATTGCACCTTATACCTACTTCCATCAGACCACTTATCACTTTATTTTGTCATTCTCTGTCTGCATCTCTGTATAGATTCCAGACTTGAGAGCAGACAGAGATTCTGTTCATCTTTGAGACCTCAAGCATAGTATTGTAAATACCATTGATTTCCCATGGCCACTAAAGAAGTTCATTGACTCTTCTATTTCAACTGATCTTTCTGCAGATTCTATCCAACTCAGAAATGGGGATACAAAGACCTGGAGAAGCCTTGCCTAACCTGATTACTCACACCTCTAGGTTAGGGATGACCCTTTGAGTTTGCCACTTTTCCATTATACATGCCCTCTCAGCCTTTCCTATAACTGATCCCCACACTTCACTAAATGGTTCACTGGAATTAAGCTAATTTGCAAGGCTTATTAAAGAAGGCTGGAAAACAATACAGATTTGAAGTTAAATCATTGGGCATTTGCTCTTCATTCTCCAGCTTCTCAGTGGCACACCTCTGAGTGACACAAGCTAATGTTGGAGGATGTCAGGTGTTAGGAAGCTCTGGTAAACTTAACCATCTGCATTTTGTGTTCTTCTGAAATGCTTACATTGTCTACTTCCTCCTGGGGTTTGATGTAGTGTTGATAAAAGAAGGTAGCCCTGGGGTCACATCAAATCTTCATGCATGTCTGTTATAGCTGAGGAGAAAGTCCTGATGACTTAACCCTTAACTAGGAGAAAGATAAACCTAATGGGGAAACTTACTTCTACCATCTATTTATTCATTCCTCATTCCTTGTTTGAACGCCCTGTGAAAGGCACTGTGATGGGTGCTGGGCTAAAAGGGTAAAAGATGTGGTATCCATTTTAAAAGTCCACGAGGGCAAATTATTTCTCTGATTGCAGTGACAGCATAGTCCAGGGGTTAGCAAACCATTTCTATAAAGGGCCAGATGGTAAATATTTTAGATTTTTACTTATTTATTTATGGCTATCAGGTCACTGATCACCACTCAATTCTGCCACCAAAGCAGCCATAGATAATTCATAAACTAATAGGTATGGATGTCTTCCAATAACAATGTATTTAAGATAGTGAAATGTAAATTTCATGAAATTTGCATATATCATATAATATTATTCTTTTGATTTTTTCCAAACATTTACAACTGTAGCAACCTTTCTTCGCTTGTGCACTATACAAAAAAGAGGCAGGGGGCTGGGTTTGGCGCTTGGGCCATAATTTCCAAGCCTTGTGGTCACTGGTTGGTTAGATGTGTGTGTGATTCCTAAGTCCAGACTTTTTTCAGTCAAAGCAAAGGTCCAAATAGCATCACAGGAGTAATCCTTGTCTTTTCTACTCTCCTACCTCTATTAATCTCCTGTCCTCCAAATCCCAACACCACAGGTCTTTCTACAAAACAGAATTCATGATACTACCAAGAATATCTGGGGACTTGTTTTCCTGTGAGAAAAAGAAAACGATTCCAATGACTATTTGGTCTCTAAAACAGTTTAATTTAGTATTTTTTTTCTTTCTCTCTCTCCATACTAGAAATTAACATAAAAATTCCTTCTGGCTAAATTCCCAATACATTTTCACAGTGAACATTTTCTGAAGTGAAAATTAGTAGCTTTCTTGCAGTTTTCATCAGGGATGTGAAATCGTGCAGCTCACAGGGGTGAAAAACTCAAGCCCCATTTATGAATTAATGCATGCTGCTGAGGGTACCTCGCTGGCTTCCTAGTGCCAGGAATTCATTTCTACAGGATCCTGAGCAGCTAAACAGTGTGTTTTAATTTGCTTCCTCATTCCACCAGTGAGAGAATGCCATTTCCTATTTGCACAAATGAATTCATATGTAACAACTGGTACCTATATAAGATTATATTATTTACACCATCCTTAGGGGTTTGGCAACACTTGGGCAAATTATAATGTCTCTCCCTAGTTCCTCCTCCCTCCATCCCCATCTTTATCCAGGTGAAACCTAGAAACAGTGAGCATGAAGGACACCCTGAAATGGGAATCAGGAGGCTGTGGGGTTGAGCATTTATGGAAGAGGGAGCCCAAGTCCTATTTATGCATACACAATGATTAAGTACTTATAGGGCTTCCTTGTTTAAGCTTAAGACGCTTAAGTTAGACTAGAGCACCTTCCTTCTTTGACAACCTCTGCCTCTCTCTAGTTCTAGCCAGCTGGTCCCTGAATCAGCCTGAGCCCTCAATCTCAGAACTTAAGCTATTGGCCAGACCTGCCCCCCCTCCCCCCTCTTCCCCCCCACCTCCCACACACACACACACATTGGGATGGCTCTGGTCCTGTAGGTCAGAAAACTCTGATAGTATGGAAAATGAGCTCTCAATAAAAATGTTTCTATTTTGAAGACATTTAAATATTTTCTTCGTTTATAATATAGGCATTTATTGAACTGCTATTCGCTTCTGCGAATACAGAAAAATAAAATAGAGGAGCTCATGTTCAAGTAGAAAAGGCAGCCGTAGACCATTTGGTGCAGCACAGGGGGTGAGTCTATAAGTGAGTATGGGGCCCAGAGGTGGCATCATCAATACACTTGGGCACATGGAAGAAGGTAGTATTGAAGAATGAATAGAAGTTTGTCAGGTAGTCAGGGTGGAAGTATGTTCCTGTTAGAGGGATAGCACAAGATTTGTTTTGCGAGAGAGTTTAGGGTAGCAGGGGTGGAGAAAATGGTCACAGTGAAGCTGATAAGAGACGCTGGGGAGAGTTGATGAAGTGTCTTGAGTGTCACACAAAGAGGACCAGGCTCTGACCTGCTCAGTGGCCCTTTAGGATGGGTGGGAAAACAGAAAGACATTAATGAAGCGACAATAGTCCCACTTGCAGGTGCGGCTGAGTTAGACTAGAGCTCCACGTGTCCAACCTGTCACCTGTACATGAGGAACCTGGGGCCAGAGGTCAAGTCACCCAGCAAAAACCCTGACAAAGCAAGGAGAGGACTAGGGATAGGTCATCTGAATCCAATGCTTTAAAATTCCTCCACACCAAGGCCCTCTCACTTAAATGTAGGCTTCTGCTTCAAAGCCTTGCTTTCTACCTATTGGATCCAAATACAATGACTGCTTCCAGCACCATTTATGCACTGCAGCCTCCCTGCCTTCTGAGCATCATCAGGAATAGCCAGCCTCCCAGGAGTGGGGACTCAGCTAGGAGCAAAGAGGGGAATTTTATAAGGAGGAAATGACCCGATTACAACACCTTGCTGATGCAGAAGCAACATAAAAACCCAAAGCAGATTGAGAAAGGCTTCTTTCTTTCTCTTGTGTTTGCAATCGAGGGTCTGTTTGAAAAGAAGCAATGCGACAGACACACTGTAGCTGCTCCCTGCTCTTCTGAGAGCCAACTCCCTGCCATCCCTAGGGCCTAGCAGGAAGCACATCAGCCTCAACACATTGCGTGTGTGTGTGTGTGTGTGTGTGTGTGTGTGTGTGTGTGTGTGTTTTCAGATTCTAGGTGCTGGGGAACCCGCATCCCATTGCAACAGACCAGGAGCTGGGTCTGCTCTCACTTAGGGGCCCAGAGGAAGGACTAGAAGCGGAGTCTCCCCGGGCTGGCTTCCAGCACAGCCTTGGCTTCCTGCAACCTGGGCGCTTGCCTTCTCTCCTCCCTTAGCAACCGGGAGGCTGTGGATACCGCCCGCGGGTGGGGCCCTGGAGGCTGCGGGTGGCTGGGGCGCAGGGCGGTGGCAGCCCAGGTGCCAGGAGAACAGGCGCCCGCAGTGCGGAGCCCCCGAGAGCGGGATTGTCAGCAGCCACCCTCCGCACCTGCCGAGGGTCCAAAACACAATCCTGCAAAAATGAGCCATTCTCACCCCTCTGGGTAAGTGACAACGTCAGCTTTTTTTTTAATGCAGCTTTTCCACGCTGTGGTTGGTGGCGGCTTCAGGCGGCGGCCCCTCCTCTCCCTCTTGCTGCGGAGGGAAGGGGCTAAGGGGGAAGGGCGAGGAGTACAATAATAGGGATCCTGGGTTGCAGTGAGGATGGCAGAAATCCCAAGCTTAGGTCTCCTCCCTCCCCTTTCCTCGCTTCATTCACGTTCATCCCCTCTGAAATGCTCGCCCTGGAAGATCTAAAAAGTGGATGTGAGAAACGCATCCATTAAGCAGGGGTCTTAGCTGGGATCCAGGTGACCCCGTGGCGTGGAGCCTGTGTGCTTAACAGCAAATGTAGAGGTCCCCACAGTAGCATTCGTTGCAAGGCTGGGGAGGGAGATGGACACATTCTCTCTGTGGCCTCTGGCATACACAGGGAGTGTGAGCAGACTTGCAGTTGAGGATGGTTGCATTGTAAGGAGGGCCTCTCCTTTCTGGGGTTCTTTCTGCCCTGTTCCCAGAGGAACATCCGGGCCTTTACCGGCATTTTGACCAGGGAAGGTGGTGAGACCCAGAAACGGCAGATGTGTGCCTGCATGTTCACAGGTGATCTTCCGTTGCACTCCTCCTCCGAAGACATATTTAGGCAATTATTCAAACCATTCTAGAAAGTTAGCAAGGTCATTATTGGCTATTGCCCCCCCTCCCCCATAGTCTTGATCCTTTTAGTGGAAGAGTGAATATGCAATTTCTGAATTAAGCAATTGTAATGCATAATAAAAAAATTTTTATTATGATACATCTAGTGAGTAGGTAATAACCCAGTTGATCTTGCAACTAATGTGAAGATGTTTTCCTTTTTAACTGGATTTATTGCACGTTTTCAAGAGCAGCAAATTAGCAGAGGACAACATATTGAAGATCATTTGGAGTTTGTAATGTCTAAAATGCCACATTCGTCTTTGTGCTTGGGATTTATAGTCAAACTTAAAGATTTAATTTTTTTAAATGAATTTTTTGAGTGTAATGACATAAACACAAATGTTTGAAAAGACTAAAGGCACACAAGGTGCCATGGTTGGAAGTCAGTTTTAGAACTTTCTGGAAACTGATGTAGCTATGACCAGACAAAGTTCTTTTCTCAAATTGAATTTCGTTGAAGTGCTTCAGCGCTTTGATGCTGAACTTCCGTGCCATTTCAGTTAGCCATGGACCATGCGGGATGTGGATGGAACTGGTTTTCTGCAGTGGCTGTTTGCAGTATGTCCACATTCGGGAAAATGAATGTGTCAGTCATGGTTGTCTTCCTACGTTTTTCAAGTTTTTAGCTAAGTTAGAATCTGATTAGACCATTTAATCATCTGTCTTAAAATGTGGAAGAACCTGTAGCTGCTTATTAAATTGTGCATGATTAAGATTTCAGAAAAGGAAGTGAAAATTTTCCATAGTTCTATTAGTTTCAAGTGCATGGAAAAAAGGACAAGTTTGTGATCCAGTGAAAGAGTGTGCTTCACAGTACTCTTCAAGAAATATATTAAGATGTCAACAATAATTTTGCACTAAAATTGGAAGCTCCTGGAGTGCAGGCACCATTTTTCATCAGTCTTTGTGCCCCTTTTATCTAGGACAAATGGGCTGCATAAACGAAAGCTCAACGAATGTTTGTTGAATGAATGGCATCATTGGATAGAACATCCGGTCTAGAGGTGGATGTATTCCCATGGGAAAACCATATTAGAGCTTAACATTTATCAAGTGCTTACCATGCACCAGACTCTAGTCTAATGTTTTACAGGAAATACCTCTATTAATCTTTGCATCTATTCCATAAGGCAGGTTCTAGTCACCCTTATTTTTACAGGTAAGGAAAGCAAGGACTGGGAACTTTCTAAAGATTGCACAGGAAAGCAGGTTCAGGGCTGGCATGCAAAGCCACGTAGTCCAGCCTCAGAGCCCATGGGCTTACACCATCATGCTACATTATCTCTCCTGGCCAACAGCTGAAGTTTGTGGAAACCCTAAATATATAGCAATTCTTATCCAGATCAGACTGGCATCTTACAGGTGGTAGGTGCACACAAATATCTATAGTCCTTTAATATACGATTAGGAGATGATTTTGTTATAGTGTGGATAAGCACATACATATTTTGGTTTCGGATCATCAAAAATAAATGAAAATAATAAACATTACAGCTCTAAATGTCTTACAATCCACCCAAGAACAAAATTATTTAGATTGCTGAAATTTCTCACTCAATATAAGTAGTGATTATTTTTTCTTGCCTGTGCTGCCATTTGAAAATAATAAAACTTTCAGTAGCAAGTAAAAGGTTTCATTAAAGCCAAGAAAGCTTTTCTATCATTACTGAAGCAGTTTGTACTTATTACATGTGAAAGATAAAGTGGTAATAAAGTGCAGTTGTACAATAAAACAGAAATTTTAAATCCCTAAAATTCCACAGATCAATAAGTGACGCCCTGATGCTTTCTCTGGGGGCTTCCTTTCGAATTCCGCTGCTTACTTAATTACAGCAGGAGACACTTGACGTAAAATTGCAAAGGGCCTGTGCTGACTTGGTGCAGATAGAGTTTGGAGTCAATAAAAGTAGTCTTAAAAACTTCTGCCACAGATTACAATAAAGACTGAATCTGAGCTGCATTTTGATTTGGGGGACGTCAAGTAGAAAGCACCATTCTGGTATTGCCATCTCCAGTGAAATCATCTTACAGTGGAGAATCTCAGTTGTCTCTCTGGTTTGCTACATCTCACCCTGAGTTGCCATTTGTTTGTAGGTTGTGCACTAATCTTAGAGATGGAATGGCCGATTTTATACCCTCATTCATTCATGACAATAACATGATAATGCTCTCTTGGCTCCTTCAAAGGATCATCTCTGAATCCTTGGATCTTTTAAGTAGAAAGAGTCACATTTGTATGCAAATTTGCTTTGAGGAACTGGGAGAATGGGGAATATTATCATATACCAGGATAAGATAAAAATGCACAAAATGTTGTGTGTTTGGAAAGATTCTGCCAAGACTTGGAAATATTTTCGTTGTTGTTTAAACTTATTAATTCACACTTTTTTAAAAATGTAAGTAAGTGTTTCTGTAGTGACAATATACTGAAGTGTGGTATAGAATTAACACATCCTTGGCACTCTCTGCTAACTCAGCCCTGCATCAAAAGCAAAGTAAAAACCACTATAAGTAAAATTGTCCACTGTTAAATAGTAGATATGAATATCCAAAAATGACTCCCCCAAAATCACAAATCTGCCATGTTATTCAGCGGGAGCATCCATTGCACTTTGTCTCTACTTTCTTCATTAGCAAACAATGCAATGCTTTGTATTTTGTAGTCACATTCTAGTCTGTTGCTCATCACCCACTCCCACTACCAAAGTAAATCACACAGAATCTCAGGTGTGAAGTCATTATGTATTTGATTTCCAATTGAGTAGTCCCTAATTAACCTCCTGTTAAATATTAGCAACTTAACTTCTAGAAGTAAATTGTTTCTGATTAAATAAAGTGAATTGAATGTGCTTATTTTTTTTTTCTACTTCCTCTCTTATTTTGTTAGAGATTCTTCTCTTTTGTTTTTATAGATGGGATGTCTTCTCTTAGTCCTTTGCTTAGCAAACCTGTTCATATAAGTAGGTGGAAATGAAAAGGGATTTGTTATACAATGTCACTCAGATCCTTGAATTCCTTCAAAATTATATGCCAAAAATCACATAGGGATCAATAACTGAAAATTGTTTTCAAAGATCTTTCAAATGACAACTCAGTTACGTCTTCCTTCAGTTATGTTGAAAGCAAAGGATTGGAAACAAAGGATTGCAATCCTACTTGTTGCCCAGTGATGAAAAGCCATTTGTTGTATCATCATGTATAAAATACTTCAAGTTGTCCTTTTGTAGATGTTTTTCTAAGTTTGGTGCACCCTAATAAGACATTACCAGATGGTGAAATATGTACCGTTCTGTTGTAAAAACAAAAAGATAATAAGGAAGGATGAGTTATTATGATTGGAAGTGCATTGTTCAGGTAGATCAGTTTTAGGAGCAAATGGAGGAAACTTGAGGCTCCAAACTTGATTCCTTTAAACTAGGGGTGTCGAACTCAATCAGAGAAGGGGCCAAAATCTAAAATCCAGCCTAAATCGCGGGCCGAATGGTTTACTGAACAGTCATAAACTGTCATTGTGATGGAAACGCAGCAGAGTGCAGTGATGACAGCGCGGTGCGGGCCACATTGCAAGGCGTGGCGGGACGGATTTGGCCCGCGGGCCTTGTGTTTGACACATGTGCTTTAAACTGTTCTTGCCTGGGAAAGTCTTTAGGTATCCCCAGAAGTGTGCATATTCCAATTAGCAAATGTCCAATTTAGAGAAAGTTGCTGTCAGATGCAGTCTCCTATAGCATTCTTTCTTTCTCCTGGTCTTTTTTTTTTCTTTTTCTTTTTGTCCATTGAGGCATTTCATTTGGACATATGTATAACATCCTTAGAAAAAGAATGCCAGGATTTTTCCTCCTATATGTTCTTGTCTTGGTTCTTCATGGTCCATGATGCTCGCTGAGGTTGTTAAGGCATTGCTAACTGGGAAGAGAAGTGGAAACTTCTCCAACTTACTCTAGTTGTTAATAACTAGAAGCCTGGTGCATGAATTCATGCATGGGTGGGATCCTAAGGAGGGTGTGGGGGTAGCCAGGATGTGATCGGCCCTCCTGGCAGTTGGTGGGACACCCTTGTTGGCCCAGGATCCAGATTTGTCCCCTGACATTCACATTGGTTGTTGGGAGCCACCTGGAGGCCACTTTTATACTGTTTTTTTCTTTGCAGAGTGTCTAGGGAGGGGAAGCAGAAGTGGGCCCAAGGTGAACTTTCAGGAGTCCAGTGGCACTGTCAGGATCATGCTGGCAGTCCTGGTCCGTTGGTGCCTGGCCTATTCTCTGGAAATTGGACCTGTAGGACTACTGAGGGAGGGAGTGGCTGCCAC